CTAAGTGTGTTGGTGGGAGACATGTGATTGTGTAGGAATGGGGGGTAGGAGACATGTGACTGTTTAGGAGTAGGGGGCTTAGGAGACATGTGACTGTGAAGTGTGGGGGTAGGAAACATGTGATTGTGAAGAGTGGTGAGGTGGGGGAGACATCTAACTGTGTAGAAATTAGAAGTGGGAGACATGTGTGACTTTGAAGAAGTAGGGTTGAGGTGGGAGACATGTGACTGTGTAGACATTGAAAGTAGTAGACACGTGTCTGTGTTGGGTTAGGATAAGGAGAACATGTGACTGTATTGGGTGAGAGTGAGAACATGTGACTGTGTATGAGTGGGGGTGGAAGGCATGTAACTGTGTGAGGGTGGGGTTGGGAGGCATGTGACTGTGTAGGGGTGGGCTAGGAGACATATAACTGTGTAGGAGGAATGAGGAGTGGGAAGGCATGTGACTGTGTAGGATGGAGCTGGGAGACATGTAACTGTGTAGGGTGAGGTGGAAGGCATGTGACTGTGTAGAGTGGGCTGGAGAGACATGTGACTGTGCTAGAGTGAAAGTGGGAGACACGTGTCTATGTAGGACATGTGACTGTGTAGGATGGGGATGGGAGACATGTGACTATGTTAGGTGAGAGTGGAAGACATGTAGTGACTGTGTATAGTGAAGGGATGGGAGGTGCAAGTGGGTGACTGTGTAGGAGGTGGAGTGGGGAGACATGTGACTGTATTGTGTAGGAGATTGAGAAATTAGACAGACATGTAGGCTGTGTATGTGTAGGGGAGTAGGAGACATGCCATGACTGGGGGTGAAGAGGTGGGGCAGGGGTAGAAGACATTATGTGACTGTGTAGGGTGGTGGAGCTGGATGGCATGTGACTTCATGTAGAGTGGGCTGGGAGACATGTGACTAAGGCAGAATTGGGCTGGGAGACATGTAACTGTGCTAATAGGGTAGGGGAATTAGGAGACATGTGACTGTGTAGGAATTGGCGGTGGGAGACATGTGACTGTGTAGGATGGGTCGGTAGACATGTGACTTTGTAGTGTGTTGGTGGGAGACATGTGATTGTGTAGAATTGAGGGGGTGGGAGACATGTGACTGTTTAGGGTAGGGGCAGGAGACATGTGACTGTGAAGAGAAGTGGGGAAATTAGGAAACATGTGATTGTGAAAAGTGGTGGTGGGGAGACATCTAACTGTGTAGGGTATGGGAGTGGGAGACATGTGACTGTGTAGGGTGGAGGGTGGGAGACATGTGACTGTGTAGGGTGAGAATTAGTAGACATATAACTGTGTTGGGTGGGGATGGGAAACATGTGACTGTGTAGGGTCAGGGGTGGGAAACATGTGACTGTGTAGGAGTGGGGGTGAGATACATGTGACATGGAGGTAGAAGATGTGTTATCTTTAACAGTTATATCTTCAAGGAAGTCAATTTATTCTATGTATCATAACTACCCGACAAAAAGCACAAAGGCAAGAATTTATGGCTGTCAGCTTCTGTATTTTTGCTTTAAATAAAATAAACAAGTTGCCTTTTGTGTGAGATCAGATTGCTTAATGCCTTTCAAAGATTTCCATTACTAAAGGACTCAAGAGTTTCTGCTTTATGAAGATATCATAATGATGATCATTTGCTAAAATATATATATACTAACGTAAATTATTAGCTGATCGTTCACCAAACAATAATAAATGCATATTTCTGCTTACAACAATCGCAAACAGGATATTATTTTCATGAAAGGCACTTAAAATAATATTTTATTTCAACCTATTAAAAGTCCCACAAGGCTAGAGCCTTTCACAAATAATCTGAAACTGGAGGAATTCGAGGAGATACGAGCATGATTTTCGTGTGCCGGATATCTTCCATTTCTTTGCTGCCATTAACCTGAATTGAGAGTTTAAAGGAAATGAATGCGCATTAATGAGGTATGAAAGATAGGGTTCAATTTCAACTGTACGGTTTGAAATAATCGAAGCACGGTGTTTAAAATTAAAGTTTATTAGGTTGTTTTAACATATTGTTTTTGAAACTCGCAGCTCCTTATAATATTATCTTCACAAATGTCGGAGAGCGCCGTAAAAACTCTCGAGGAAACCATGCCCGCAAGATCCTTAGAGAAAACACTCAGTTGGAAACGAGAGCCGTTATGTTAACTTACGTGTCATTGAATTTTTCACCGTACACATGGCTATTCGTATTAAAAAATTAAAGTTGGGCAACGCAATGAATGTTCGTTATCATATCAAAATGAAATAGCGATAATATGTATTGACGATCTTTTTGAGAATCCCAAAAGGCCGCTACAGTACTTGGCGTCCGTCACTGCGAGATAATGTTAATTCATTATTTAACTGTTGGTTTGTTGTTTAACGCCGCGCTCAAACAATATTCCAGCCGTAATGGCGGCAGTCATAGTATCGATCTACGCAATTGGGATACTACATGACATGTGTCAACCAAGTCAACAAGCCCTGACCGCTTTCGATCCCTTTTAATTAATGAAGCCTCTTGCCGGCGTGCTTGTAATACTGCTGAAGATCAACCCGGATCTTCCTGGGCAGATCAATGGTAAATATGAAGAAGTCGTTACCACACGTAGAGACAGCTGTTTGCGCCAAGGCCTTAAGGCAACCTTCTGCTAGCACAACTATTGGGTGCAGGGGTAGCCTAGAGTGGTTAAAGCGTTCGCTCGCCGCGCCCACATGCCCTGGATTCGATTCACCAAACGGGTACGATGTGTGAAGCCCGTTTCTGGTGTCCGTGATACTGTGATATTGCTGGGAATATTGTAAAAGCGGTGTAAAACCATACTCTCTCACCCTGCAATACCTATATACAATTTGGACGGCGTTTGGATGGACATCGACAGATATGTAGTCAATTTATGGGCATTCAGAAACATGGCCCTGAACGCTGAGGAGGTAAACAATCGAGTGAATACCTGGTTTGAAGCCCAACTGAAAATTTTCATTTTCGCTCAGATTCTGTATAGCGTCACCAGGGAAGAACTGAGTCACAGTTGGTCTTCTAAGCAGCCCATGCTTGTCGTAAGAGGCGATCATGTTTGTAGATCGATGCTCATGATGTTGATCACAGAATTGCTGGGCCATTTTATAATACAATAGAAGCCATGTAACACTCAGTATAACTACAATGACCTTGGAATAGTTTCTGAACAATGTCTTCAAAGTAACTTAATAGGTTCAACAAGTGAAATGACAAGTCAGATGTCTAGCTGGATAAATCGGCGAATAACACTCAAGAAAAAATGTGGCCAAATTTTGTTTTATTCAAACACACAAGAGAATAAGTGCAATATATACTGGAAAACACAGGATGCGTTGGGCAACATTAGTTACACACAGTTGCTGAAATGGAAGTAACCGAAAATGTACAGTGGGCTATTCTGCAAGCCTATCGATTCCAAGATGGAGCTGACAAAAGTCATAGCCTTGGTACCAATACAAGGAAAGAGGTTCATTTCTTGGATTAAGGAGTGCCGACGGTCTAGGTAATTGTCAGCAAGGATTGGCACTAGGGAAGCTGACACAAATTAATTGCCCGATTGTACTTCTCGAAATTCGTAGTGGAGCTGTTGGAATTTTGAGAGTTCACTCGTGGAAGGTTGAAGTCGTGGAAGAAAGTAGGTCCGGAACAACAATGAACTCCATTACAACGAACACGATTATAACAAACTGACGGATATAACGAACTGTTTTCTTTGGAGTTTTTGTCTATTCAAGTCGAAATCTTGTTCTGTATACTTCGATTATAACTGTAGTTCAGTGTAAGAAACCTTAGGTGTTTCACATCTCTCCTTAATTTTCTAGTTCATCCGGGTAAAAGAAGGATTTTGGTTGTTTGATGACTATTGAACAGATCATTAAGACATCTGAAGTTTCAAATCCCTTGTTTTGCCAAACCAAGAAGAAATTCCTCTTCAAATGCTCACTTTCGTGTCCATGCTTATGCTACGTCAACTTGCCATAATGTCATATCCCCAAACTCTACATCAGAGTTGTATCGGAACAATTTCAACTGCAGATGACTTCCATATGACATTGTCCTGAACCTCTGGAGATGGATATGTAAAGCTATGTTCACGACGTTGCCGCCCACAGAAAATGAAGTATACTGTTCGGGGTAGCGGTGTACAAAGTCGAAACTCTTTCTAAAAATAACTTGTTTTCCTGAGGTTGCAAAACGTAGTAGTTTTTATTTGAGTATCCACGTGGCATAATTAACTTTTCTCAGATACGTTTTCTTGAGAGAACGAAAAAGAGATACGTATTTCATCTTTTCAATTTTTATCACCTTGTTGCGTATCTAGTGGACTGAGGGACACACAGACGGGAAGATACTGTAACATGTATTACAACATCACTCGAGTGAGTGAGTGAGTTTAGTTTTACGCTACACTCAGCAATATTCCAGCTATATGGCGGTGGTCTGTAAATAATCGAGTCTGGACCAGACAATTCAGTGATGAGCATGAGCATCGATCTGCGCAATTGGGAACCGATGACATTTGTCAATCAAGTCAAAGCGAGCCTGACCACCCGATGCCGTCAGTCGTCTCTTACGACAAGCATGGGTTACTGAATATCCATATTCTAGCCCGGACCTTCACGGGTAACAACATCACTCCGAGCACAGTTTGTTCACAATAATTAAAATGAAACAATAAGACTGCTCCTTCAGAGGAAGGTGGCACACAAACATGAACGTAAACATGAAGTAGAGACACATCCTTGATAGAGTATGTGTGTTTCAGCACATACCAATCTGAATCGCCTCCTTCAGATTAACCTGACACACGAACATGGGAACAGCGTTATCATAGTGACAGAAGTAATCGTGCCATCCATTTACGTTATCCGCACCCGCACGTTGCCGTACCAGCATACACTGTTGAACAGGGTCTGAATCTGGTTGAGTCACGTCCCAGTAGGTTGTGTTGATGAGAGTTCCATCTGACCATGTCCACTTTCCAGTAACACTGTCTTCCAAAACCATTTACCCATACGAAAGCAGCTGTGAACACAAACGCAGTAAGTATTTAATTAATCTTAACAGGGTGACCATGAGTGACACATTAAACATTTTATATATATACATAAAATATGAGTCAGGTATTTCTTCTTGTCAAATCTCCTTTATATCTGCACAAGATCTTTCGCAGTTCTACGGCTCCTTTCAGGTGTGCAATGATGAAAACAGCTATATCAACAACTCAAGGCTTTATTGTATACATACTGTGGAGGTAAAATGAACTGCAGTAGAATACTTTATAACGAACACGGATATAACGAACTGACGGCTATAGCGAACTGTTTTAAAAGTCCCGATAAACCTTATATTATCATATAAAAAGTCAATAGCGAACTACGGACATAACGAACTAATTTCAGTGCTCCCTTGGAGTTCGTTATGCTCGTATCTTCAAGATTTCAAAAGAGCATCAAAGACTCATGCTCAGAGGTTGTTTCGATCCAGGTTACAACATTCAAATCCTAAGTAGTGTTTTCAAAAGTTTTATAGTAGACACGTGGAGGACAGTCAAACTTTGATGCATCAGTGACAAAAGTTATGTCTGATGCGACTCCTTATTTTGACTTGTACTTGATTTACCGCTGTTACATTGCTGAGTGTTTTGTTTGTTTGTTTGTTTGTTTGTTTGTTTGTTTGTTTGTTTGTTTGTTTGTTTGTTTTGACGCCAAACTCATCAATATTCCAGCTATATGGGGTCAGTCTGTAAATACTCGAGTCTGGACCAGACAATCCAGTCATCAACAGCATGAGCATGGATCTAAGCAATTTTGTTTGGAAGTAGAGAAACCAAATCCTGATTTATTCAGTTCATCTACACGGCACTACAAATATTTGCCTTTAGCAGTATTGTTTTTCAGAGACAAGAGTTATACAGGTAAAATATTGCTGAATGTGGCGTCAAACAACAAACAAACAAACACAATAAGGTGTTAATACTAAAGTAATTGCATTGATGTTTCAAATATACGTCTTTGTGTTTCAAGTAAGTTGACATACTACACATGCATATCCGTACAGGTCTTTACAAACTTCAAATATCAGGTTAGAATTATACTTTTAAGAGGGTAAATGCTATTGCCCAGTAGCAACCTACAATAAGAATCGTAAATCTTGTTCATGAATGCATTGATGCCAGCACTGTCCACTTTGATGAGATATCCGCCATCTTGATGGCATGTATGGTTGGCTTGGAACCAGGATTTTGTTCAGGTGTAGATCTTGTAGCAGAGGCCCTAGGCTTCGGTACCGCATGTGTAGCCCTTGTCGCAGTCATCTGTGGAAGAACAATATGCTCTATCGGAGGAAGGACAATAGGTTGTTATGGTAATATAAATAAAGTCATCGGAGGGAACAATAGGTTGTCATGGTAGTATAAATACAGTCATAGGAGGAAGGACAATAGGTTGTCATGGTAATATAAATAAAGTCATCGGAGGAGGAACAATATGCTGCCATGGTAATATAAATAAAGTCATCGGAGGAAGAACAATAGGTTGTCATGGTAATATAAATAAAGTCATCGGAGGAACAATAGGTTGTCATGGTAGTATAAATATAGTCATCGGAGGAAGGACAATAGGTTGTCATGGTAATATAAATAAAAGTCATCGGAGGAACAATATGCTGTCATGGTAATATAAATAAAGTCATTGGAGGAAGAACAATAGGTTGTCATGGTAATATAAATAAATTCATCGGAGGAAGGACAATAGGTTGTCATGTAAACATACAAACAAACGAGGTCAACAGATCTGTGTTATAAAGAAATCACGCATCGAGTGAGGTGATGTGTAAATTCACAATCTCTTGACTGAGTATACTAGATGAAAAGCCACCCTAAGACGTGCCAATCATGTTTATACTAATTATTTGCATCAAAGAATTGTATTGGCTTTCATCAGGATGGTGAACCTGTTCTGCCACGAGCGTAGGAGTGTAGGAGCTTTAGAATGTTGCAGTTAGATGTTCTATTATTCGATTTTACACCTGGTTATAGTTGGGGTCTCTCATTTCCACTTCATGTTCATCATTTACATACACTGAGACTGGTTTATGTTGGTTTGTAAACAATGGTTTTACAATTTATTGATCATTTAGGTAAACCTATTCTGAATCAGACAATGTTTGGTAAGCCATGTTGTCTTACCATAAACTCGAATTTGATATCATTTGCCTTGTGTTAAGACAGGGAATCAGTTTCAACTGCAGCATAATCAAAAGCGGCATCTTAAGCTTTGGAAACAAAGGCCCCCATAACCACATAGCACTTTTTGCTTAGAGCTCCTCACTTTCAATGTGAGTGAATGATTGCGAACATAAAACATACTACTTCTAATATACCTTCTTATTTCATATTCAATTCTACCCATCGCCCCTCCTAACATCTGATATCATTGTCTGACTGATACTCCTTTGTAAGTTCCACATACATCATCCACTGCCTGCCTATGGGATACTAGTATCCACTTTCATCATTTATCTTTGCGATTCCTGAGCCCCACCTAGAAGGAAAAACCTCAAAAATACACCCACAAGCTCTCTGCCAGTTCCGCAAGGTAGATGACACTTTTGTCATCAAACTTTTTTATATCCTAAGAACCAACATTTAAAGCACCTGAAGCCACGAGAAAACCACCATCAACCTGGAATCAAAGGCACCATTAAAGCCACGGGAAAACCACCATCAACCTGGAATCAAAGGCACCATTAAAGCCACGAGAAAACCACCATCAACTTGCAATCAAAGGCACCATTAAAGCCACGGGAAAACCATCATCAACTTGCAACCAAAGGCACCATTAAAGCCACGGGAAAACCATCATCAACCTGGAAGAAAAGGCACCATTAAAGCCACGGGAAAACGGAAAATCATCAACCTGCAACCAAATGCACCATTAAAGCCACGAGAAACCATCATCAACCTGGAAGAAAAGGCACCATTAAAGCCACGGGAAAACCATCATCAACCTGGAAGAAAAGGCACCATTAAAGCCATGGGAAAACCATCATCAACCTGGAAGAAAAAGGCATCATTAAAGCCACGGGAAAACCATCATCAACCTGGAAGAAAAGGCACCATTAAAACCAGGGGAAAACCATCATCAACCTGGAAGAAAGGCACCATTAAAGCCACGGAAAACCATCATCAACCTGCAACCAAAGGCACCATTAAAGCCACGGGAAAACCATCATCAACCTGGAAGAAAAGGCACCATTAAATCCAGGGAAAACCATCATCAACCTGGAAGAAAAGGCACCATTAAAGCCACGCGGAAAACCATCATCAACCTGGAAGAAAAGGCACCATTAAAGCCACGGAAAACCATCATCAACCTGGAAGAAAAGGCACCATTAAAGCCACGGGAAAACCATCATCAACCTGGAAGAAAATGCACCATTAAAGCCACGGGAAAACCATCATCAACCTGTCAACCACCATCAACCTGGATGCAAAGGGACCAGTATGCCACAATCATCAAAATCACGCAGCCTGGCTACACACATCTTCGATAATCTCCAGGATAGACGTTCCGATAAATCTCCACTGCTCACTCGTTCTCACTCAACATGCACATTTACCCTATTGCGTTGTCGCATGGTTGTAATTGCAAAAACGGAGGTAGTCATTTAACTTAATATTTCGTCGCCTGAAAACCAGAGTGTTCTAAGTCCACTTTGACAAAATTAGTGTTAGTATGCTCAGGGTAGGTTTTAGAGCATAATCTATTACTCTAGCAAATGTTTACAGTGCTATCCAGCTTTGAAAGTGGTTTTTCAAACAGAAACTTTGTTCTATCTCCATGAAAATCACATGTTGTTAATTTTCGAGTGTTCTAAGTTGTAAATTGACCAATGGGCAAGCACAATTTGATCACGTGACATTGAGATTTACCAATTTTGAAGTGACTGTCATCATGGAAATGGAACTGCACGGCATCGCCTCGGCATCGAACGAATAAGTCTCAGAATCTCGTGTTGTCCAATCGCAGCCCAATCTGCCTGTAGTGCCTGTGCGAGTTGCTGAAGTGTCTTGGGCTGAGGGTTACGGCGTCGCACCTCGTCTGTCCAGGGCATCCCACACATGTTCGATCGGGTAATTTTATGAAACCTTTACATTAAATTCTAATTGGGGAGGAGGCATGTTTAGCCCATTGTTGTTTGCGTCTAGTCATCGGTTGTCCTAGAATAAGTTAACTATACAGATAATGGTATTCGTTTATGCCCGACGTCAAGATGCCTCAGGAGAACTAAAAGCCCAACTTTGATCTATAGCAGCGTCCGTTGTATATGTTCCACCTTTGTGAAATGAAGTTGATAATATGGAACCTTTGCATTAATTCAAGTGAGGATGAGGCTCGTTAGTCACTGCCATGTTTAACCCATCGTTGCTTGAGTCTAGTCATAGGTTGTCCTTGAATAAGCTATGAAGATAATCGTATTGGTATATATAATACTATAATACAACTTCTCAAGGTATGTGTCCTATGCCTTATAGGTAGTCATTAGTCCGAGCAGCAATGGCAAAGTTACTAACAGCGGCAATGACAATGACAATATATTTCGGCATAGCGGCCACATGGCCTAAAGTACATTTAGAGTACTGAAATATTGTGCACAGCGGTACAATGTAGATGAGGTGGAGTTATAGTCCTTATGTAAAGACAACGAAACTTACATAATGTTTTTCTGAAATCGTTACAGCAAGGAAGTGAAGATATGTACTTTTCTGAGTTAACAATGGTTTTAACTCTGAATATGCACTGAGGTAATGTGCATTGTTAATCTTATAATGCCAATACTGAACTTCACATCTTTCGAACGTTGTTGAAACAGTTGAATGAATATGTCAGCATGGCCACAGTCCTGGGAGATCCAGACATATGAAAATCACTGTAAAATAGCAATATTCTAATCCCCATTCATTTTTTCCACTATCATCATAGACCTTAAGCATTACATACCATGCCCTAGGGCATCTACTAGATTCCAGCTATATCAATCGACACCAATACTTGATACAGTGAGTAAAATGTCTGGCGCAAATTGGCCATCTGCCTGTCTCACTGAGGATGGCATTTGTTGAGACTGTTCTACTGACACCTATATATCTCTTCAAGAAATTTCCTGTACTTTCCCTATTATCTCCCTTTGACATGAAGCCCCACCCATACTCAAATATAAGAACAATTCTGTAGTCAAAAATCTTTGTTACACTATTAAATTGAATCGCTGGGTATTTTCTCAAAAGTTGCTGAATTGGGAAAAGGCCTTTGGTTTGCAGGCTTTAGACCAACATAGTCTTAGTGAAAATATAATTCTAAGATATAATAAGTTACTATACTTACTGCAGTTCAGATGCCCTATAATACCATTTTCGGTTGATTTTAGGTACCCCCCATTTCTGAACACAATAATAAATTCACCCCATTTTCTACAATAGTTGGGAAGGGCATCAAGTTTTATCTGTAAAACCAACGGTACTTGAGTCAGTTAATGATACATCATCAGCGAACTTTAATCTTGAGATTTTATTCAATACTTTCTGTTACAAATATACCTCGTAATTCGAATTGTTTGAATTCAGAGAGCTCATTTTATGAAAAGATAAACAGTGCAGGACTAAGCATGCGTCATTGTCGTACACAGAAGATGTGTCAAACACAGATGATCTCCTGTTCCCTGCTCTGACGCAGGCCTTCACCTGGCCATACATGCATTTTAATATATCAAAATTTACCATGCACATCCCGTGTGTGCAATATATACTCACCACAAAAGGAACGTCGATTTGCAAAACCAAATGCAAAATTTTGTTCTTGAAAGGTGGTGTTTTATTATGATTGTACCGTTTTCTTAACATGTTTTTTTTCAATCCAAATTGACAGTTATTACCAACATCAATTTGTTTTCTGATGAAAACGCATATCGACCAAACGCACCGAAAAAAGGCAGACATGGTAAAAGGTTCCGTATGACATTCGTGAAAATGAAAATGCACGTGCATGTCGTGACAACCCTACCAATGAAAGCGGGTCCCAAGCTCGCCTGAAATCATTTTGGTTTTGACACAACCACCATGCCACGTCTTACGAGGGATCAGAGGAACCAAGTCGTGCGACGATTGCAAGTTGTCCAGACTGCACGGAGGGTAGCCAATCATTTTAGTGTTCATGTTAGGACAGCAGGGAAGTGGTATCAAGTCACTAAGAGCATTCAAGACAACGTCACGAATGACAAGCTGTGCGCAACCATCTGCATGATCGCTTCCCCAGAGAGACGGAAACAGCACGCCAGACCATTTCTGACTCAAAACAGACCCATCAGTGCCGATACAGTGCGCCGACGTTTGCGCGGAAGAAACCTCTGCTGTCACAGATCATATCGTAGTGCTGTCCCTCACCGCTCATCACCGCCAAAACCGACCAAAATGGGCAGCTCAGCATCGAATTGAGGTTATCCACAATGGAGAACTGTGCTGTTATCTCATGAAAGCCGATATTGTGTTTCGACAGTCGATGACAGAGTGAGGGTATGGCGAGGGCGTGGTGAAATGTTTTCCAATGAGTGTATTGTTGAAAGAGACTCGTGGGGTGGTCCAAGCATCATAGTGTAAGGGGTGCAATCGGTCTGAATAGTTAGTTGACACCGTGGTGTTTCTGCATCTTGGCCCAGGACGAGGAAATGACATGATAGCTGCTCGCTATATTGATTAAATCATAAGACCCACGTTCTACCACATTTTGGACGTTACATAAATCACATCTTCCAGCAAGACAACGGTCGTGCCCACACTGCCAGAGCAACATTGGACTTCCTAAGACGATGGCATCCAAACCCTACAATACCCCTGCCCTCAGTCCGAATTTAAGTCCAGTAGAACACCTTTGGGGCGAGATTCAAAGAAGACTGAATGGCCCCAACCAAGGCCGACAACTGCAGCTGGTCTCGATCAGGCATTTCGCATTGTCTGGGCCCAAGTGCCTATGGCCTTCATCGACCGGATAATTCATTCCGTGTACAGACGATGCAACGATTTCATCGATGCCCATAGAGGCCACACACACAATACTGACTTTGGGGTATCTTAATGGTACCATTTTTGGTGATTTGTTTGTGTGAACTCTAAATGTGATTCCTGAAATTGTGTTAACCATAATTGTCAAGTTTAACCCAGTCCCTCCTATTTGATTGTTAAGTAGAATAAATTAAAGTGTGTGCTTTAAGAAACCCCTATCAGTGCGACATTTCCTTTGTGGACCAGTATATATACTAGGCGCCATTAATAAAGGGTTAAAATCAAAGGTTACAGAGGTATATATATAGTATGTACAGGAAGCCACAGAGTTGTTTTTACAAACTATACATACTATATATACCTCTGTAACTATTGACTGTCATTCACCTGATGAAGGGGCAAGAATTAGAACAGAAACACCGTATGTAAATAATAAAGAAGTTGCACATCCATATCAAGTGTGTTGTATTACCCTACCAACTTCTAAATGCCTATCAAACACCTCCCTTACGGTAGTATCAAATTTAGTATTGTCATTGGTAATGTTTGGGTTCAATAAGTTGAATTCCAAGGTGATGTGACAGGAGGGGCTA